TTTTTTTTTTTTTTGGATTGTTTGGTCTTGAACCCTGTCTCACCCACCATGAGATAGTCATCTTCAAAAGACGAGTTTTCCAGTATATGTGCACACTCCAGGGTCTTTGTTCAGGCATGCCATTTTCAAAATATGTAGAGAAGGATTGTCATTTCCCCCCTGTGGGATTTCTAAGGCACTCCTGAAACACCTGCAAAATTATCACAATCACATGGGAAGATCTTCACATTAAAAAAAAAACAAAACAGTTCTACCTAAACAACAGGGTCACTCTAGAAGGAGAACAATTGATCCTTCCTGACCCCTAAAGTAAAATATTTAATTCCTGCCAACCTCTGTGGCAAGGGAGCAGAAGGGTGGAAAGGCTGGTATCTCTGTTGAATTGGAAGATGCTGAACCTTGACTTGTCTCTTTTCAGTTACAGTTTTTTTACTTTGTCTTTAATTTTTATATTTAGTGTTGGCAAGGTATCTATTGATCTCAGTATTGAATACTGAAAATACGTAGATTTTGGATGGTTCCATCCATAATTCATGCTTCTGCTGGCGTGAATCATTTTGGCCAGAGGGTTACTTTCTAAAGGAACTACTTAAGTATGTGTTGATGTGTCTTATACATCTCAAATGAAGTTCTGCAAATGTTAAATTATAGAGCAGCACAATGAAAGCAGAAATCTGAAATAAATAGTAATTTTATTAAAGAAGCCAGAAAAGGGGACACTGTGGCTATAATTTCAGTTAAAAATGCTAGAGTTTTAAAAAAATGTTTGAAATTTGTGTTGTGTTTTCTTGAAGTGTCATTGGTTACTTTAAAAAATGATGACAGATGATTTGGGCAAGTTTTTAATTTTAGAATCGTGTAGAAAAGTTTTGTGGACAGCTTTCCTTTGCTCTGTAACAAATGCTTTTACTGTTTAGCTAAGCTTTGCTACCAGTGGCTCTGAGGCTGAAATGAAAAGTGAAATGCTGTTGTTTCCCATCTAATACGAGAATGTATTTTTATTTCCACTCTCCAGTGTTAAAAAAAGAAATGAAAAGAAAACAAAGATCATGATCCAAAGGCTCAAACTGAAATTTAATTTCCTAACTAGAATAAGGCTGGCTTTGCCTTGATGTGAAAAGTCATGCATAGGAAACATTTGTTCATGGCTGCACAGTTGGTCCTGCTGATTGCTGGGATCAGCAGTTGAATCGGAAATGCATTTCTGTCTTCAGACACTCAATCAGGCAGGTAGGAAACCAACCAAGGCTAAGCAGTTGGAACTGACTCAATTTCTTTTTTACCTTTCTATTGAGAAATGTTTCTTCTGTGCTTTCTGCCCCTACTTTTTAGTCTCCTTCAGAGAATGGAACGAAAGTCCAAATGAATAAGTTGGAGAGCAGTGCATTACCTGCCTGTCATTGCCCAGGACCTGATCCTCTAGTGACACAGTAGTTGCCAGAGTTTTGTCTTCCTTCTTGATTCTATCATTTCTGTGTTCTGCTTTGGAGCTTCTCATGGGTGGGATCTGAAGTTGTGTGGAATGGCTTCTCAGGATAAACTGTTTTTGTCCCAGATCATTTGTTGTTTTCATTTTTCATAAGATCTTTTTTTGACTGAATATTGCAGTGTGACCAATGAGCAACTATTAGCCACCTAAGAAAATATATTTACAGTAGCTTTTTAAAAAAATTAAAAAATGTGTTTATTGATTCTAGAGGGAGGAAGAGAGAGAGGCAGGGGTGGGGGTGGGCATTGATTGGTTGAACCTGCAACCTAGGGGTGTTCCCTGATGGGGAATCAAACCCCCAGCTTTTTGGTGTTTAAGACAACATTCCAACCAACCAAGGCATACCAGTTAGGGCTATTTATAGTAGCTTTAAAAAAATTATTTGGAAAAGTGATTATACTTGGAGAATAATTTTTGTTATTTCTGAAAGACCATGGAGAAGTTTTAGGGCCATGAGTCCAATTTTGCCATATTAAGCATGGTGCCATTCAGTTTGTGCATCTTTAGCTATGCTCTGTGACTGAGTTGAAGCATTTTGGGGACACTTCTTGGTCAACTTGGGTTTTGAGAAGTAATTAAAAAAATTGCAACTGGACAAAAACAAAGGGTAGTTTGAGAGTATTATTAGAATTGTATTGTGGTGGAAAAGTTTGATTGTCAGAAAAATTTATCTGTAATTAGCCATAAATTTAGTTTTATTGTTGACAAATTCATGAACTCTGCTAGTGATGCGGTTGATTTTCCCAATTTAGCAACAAAATCTTGTGGTATGGAGACGCCCCTGTTTTCTCAGCACTCTTGTCAAGTTCTGCAACTCATTTCACGTTATTGCTAATAACATAGTGACTACTGAGGAACAAGCACACTAGGTTGACAAGGGTCATGAATTTTAGGTTTTGTTTGCTGCAGTACTTATGCATTGTAAGAACAATATGGTGAAAATGGACCAGTGTCACCCCAATGAATTTAATTAAAAAAAGAAAATGGAGACATTTTCTATTTGGGCTAGTTCAGGATCTCTGAATAGAGACATAAAAGCATTTGACCAGTATTTGTTTGCATGCTTTGCTTTCACATGATGACTGGACTCAGAGATGGGTAAAGAATCTCCATTGTTGGGGTGGGTGACAGAGAACAGGTGCTTGTTGCCACCACTTTTTGTTCATTTGTGTAATCTGCTCAGCATTTCACATGTTCTCTGGTGAGTGTTCTGGTGACTTAGGTTTCACTTCTTTTGGACTCTTCTGTGACTCTTATTTTTGAATAATTATATGAATAAGAAAGGTTTTTTAAATGGACTTTTATTTCTTAAAATGAAAGCTTTCTCTTTGGCTCTTTTGCTGCTTCTTATATTAGCGATTTGTACACTTAAAGGTATTGCTGGTACGAGAATTACTCTTTTGAAAACTATCAAGCTGTTTTTCTGTCCAGCTCGTTAACATTCCAGTTAATAGTATCCGTACTTCTTACCGTAGGGATACAAAACAAGATGCCCTTCAGAATGTGAATCCTTTAACTTTTGAATACTGGATGCAGGTGTTACTGCAAACTCAGCACACCATTATGTGATGAGAAAACAAAGAAAGAAATGTTTGTGAGTAGGAAAAAGTACTTGGCAAAAAGTTCTGCCCTGTTCAGTGAGTTACTGAAATGGAACTGAGTTTTCTTTTATTAAGTATGTCTTTGAAGTTGAAATGATTTAGTAGTCACCTATGAGCATTAGTGTAGTGGCTTCTTGAAGGCTTTAGTGCTCCCAGGGAGTCAGCTTGTGAAGCAAATGCACAGCAAACCACAGAGCAGACGCTGTTTTGTTATACTGGAGGGCAGCCGTTGAGCCACAGTGTGTTCAAGGGAAATTCAGGCACTTGGTCAATCCAGTTATACATTTCCACTCTTCATTTGCCCTCGTTTTCTTGGTGTGCATTTATAATTGCTTTATAGTGATCCTGTCGATTTGACAAGCAGGAAGAAACAAAAATGAAGTCTAAATCATTGATTTTAGGATTTTAAGTAAGTTGGATAGGGGAGCATATTAAGTATAAGGATTACTATCAATTCAGTTTTTCTTACTATTCCTCTTGCTGATTGCTCTGACTGACAAGTTGACAGCTTTACTTTATGTAAACTTTCATTTCTTTTAAATTAAAATTAAAGTTCATGAATCTGCACTGACTCAAGATATGTGAGATTCTGCTCTAATCACTGTTCTCTTCAGTCAATAAAATTTCTGCACTTTTAAAATATCCTGACTGCCAGATTATTAATGTTCCTACATGTCACCACTTTGTTATTATTACTTTGCATCATCACTGACCTTTGTACTCAGGTGTTTTTCAGTACATGAAGGAATGAAGTTAGTAACAGCCATTTTCAAGTAGAATCTAAAATTACTTCCATATTTTTCTACAAAGTTTTCTGTTGTTCATTTTTAGTATTCACGTGAAGGAGGAGCCCAGGTATGGCCCTTCAGGTTTCTCGATGTGTTTAGAAGATGTGGCCAATATTACTTGCTGAAACTGGCCCTGGAAAAGTTGAACTGGTGCCATATTTTTCATGCTACTGTTATGTCTCACTATGAAATGAAGGAAGTGTTAATAACACTTCCTACTTGTTTAGCACCTTTTCCTCCCCAGCTCTCAAAGGAGTTGGCCAATATCAGGCTGGATTCCCAGCCCATGTTTCTATTATTTTCTAATTCCTGTAATGAAATGTTACATAAAATTTTTTTACTTATTATATTTTTTCTTATGCTGTCCTAAAAATTGAAAAATAATATTTGCTACTAAGAATTTGACCTAGGATTATACTGTAATCAACCACAGAGCCAAAAACAGAACTCAGGATTCTTCCTCAACTTCATTTATTACTGAGCCATAGTTTCTCCCTTTTCAGATATACTTACAACAGGACCAAAGAAAATGCATTTCCAGGTACCAAAAAGATTTTCCATGTCTCTTCTTCAGTGTTCCAGTGCTGGATTTACACTGGATTTATTGTCTCAAGTAAAGCTTTTCAGTGCCAGTTATAAACATGATCTGTTCCCATATTATCCCTGATTTGACTGCTGTCCCAGAAGGTGATGGATAGTTGAAGAAAGAGTATAATGAATGCAGCCCCTATTTTCTTTTTTCCCTTCTAAATTTGATTTAATATAAGGTTGCTTTCTGCCAGGAAATTTCATGAATGGGCATATGTTAATAAGCCAGATTTTTTTCCCTTTATAGTCATAAACTTAACAAAACATCTCCCCAAAGTGGATTCAGTTAGAGTATGTTAATACTTGATTGAGTACTTCCTGAACTTATAGGAGGAAGCAACTCCAACCACTCTGAAAATGAAGTCGTTCCTGTAAAACTTGGCTACTGCAGTCTGAATATATTTCATGCATTGAAACACATCTTCCATAATTCTTTTTGTTAGTGAATGTTTATAAAACTAAATGAGTCTGTAAAAACTAGAATTGACTGCTCTGCTTTAAAAATGTTTTCAGAAAGTCAAACTGAGGAGGAAGTTTCTGAGTGACAGTTTTTTACTTTTTCCTTCAGAGTAACAAAGTGAAAGTCACATTTTGATCAATTTTCATTAGTCCTTGTAGTGAGAACGTAAACCCCAAAGCGTGGGCTGGTGCTTGCACACAAAGCAGTTTTCTTGTTTTGGTGCCCTCGCACGTGAGCCATTGCATGTACACACATGCCACACATAAAGAGTCTATTCTTGCTCACACTCCGCCAAAGGAGGCTGGCCACTTCGGTCTTCTGCTCAGTGGAAATTGGCAGCCTTTCTTCTTCTGTAAACAACAGCCCGACGTCACTTCATGCAGCAGTGATAGCAGGCCCACTTTAGAGATTCTCACAGGACTGCTGAAGTCCTGTCATTGGCTTTGATCATCTCCAGTCACACTTGAGTAAATGCAACACAGAGAAATTCATTCATGTCAGACATACTGGAGTAGCTCTTTTAAAACTGTTTATAAAGTGCCTAGCCTTGGATTTCCATGTATAATCGTAGCAAGACACCTGCGTAAATGAGGAGAACTGTAGTTATTCCTAACAGAAATGAGCTAACTCAAGTCCAGAGAATTAAAAAGTTAGCAAGTGGTAGAATGACTGAAATTTAAGCCTTCAAAACACTGTTTTGTCTCTCTTTTCCTTATATTAAATAACTTCTCTAGTAATTGTTAATTGTTCTATTCTGCTACTTCCTCTCCCACCTAAAATGTGTGGGATGATGATTTATGAATTTTTTTCCCAGTCAAGACATCTGTGCATTAAAATCAGTTACAGTCTTGTTGCATTTGGGAACTCCTAGACAATAAGGTCACCCACTCCCTTGCCTCAGAGGGAGCCTTTTGGAAAATCTAGCATAAGTCCACACTCACAAGCTTAATGGGAAAGATTTATTAACAGCATGATCCTGTTCTTCATTTAGCCTCTGAAAGCTACATAAAATTGAGTGGATGAATGATATAGTAATTCTTTTGTGTTGTCAACTGGAAGAGACAAAATCAACATGAAAGAACTGTTCTATTAGTTAGAAATCAGACTTTTATTGGGAATTGAGAGAGAGAATTGAGCCACTGGTTAAAATATAACTTGTTATATAAAATAGTTGTTTTTCTCACTTGCCCACTTCTAGCTTATTTTCAGGTAGTTATACAAAGTGGAAAAGAACAATTATCTTCCATGATTTATAGTTGCATATATGGTTTGGGAATACTTCAGATTGCAGACAATGTGGTTTTCTGTTTGTGACGCTGAGCTGTTTTTCAATGTGACATTAAGAATAAGTGGGAAGCATGTTTAGGTATGTGTAGACTATCCACAGTAAATTTCTTACACCTGAGAAAATTTACATTGAGCAGAGTAAATTTCTGCTCAATGGCCCATTTGAGCTAGCCCCTGATTTTGAGGGATGTGTATGTTTAGGGAATGCAAATTAATGTTGATTTTAGCTTACCTAGGCAGAAAATGTGTTAAACCCTAAACATTAGAAAGGGCAAATACAATTTTAAAAAATTAACTGCTTTCTTAAACTGCACTTTGGTATATAATGGGCATTCAAAAACAAATGAAACTGTAATAATCAGAAGTTAACTGTATTAGCAACCTCAACAAGCAAGCACCATATTGTAAGTTGACTAAATTATATCCAAGGCAAAAAGTGCATTTGGGGTAAAGGAAACATATTCTATTGCATAACTTGAAATGAGCCAAAAGAGCCATTTCTTCTGTATTTTATTAATTGGAAAAAGAATGCTTTGCCTTTAAAGGATGATGCTGCTGGTTTAAAAAATTACAATGGGAATAGAGGTGAAGTACCTAAAATCTGCTTTGACAAAGAAAACAAGTCAATGAACTTCTCACCATCTTAGCTTCTTTCTGTGAGTGACAGAGAATAAGGAGCAAGTAACAGCTGCCAGTCTGAGCCTCTCACTTCTGTTGTGCAGGGAAATTTCAAAGTCTAGGTCTGCTGCAGGAGCGGAGCAGCCTTTGCAGTGAGTGGCCCATGCAGTGTGCACACCCGTGGCGGGCTTCCCCAGCACTGCCCTTGGGGGAAGCCCACACCCACGTCTTACAGGAATGGCCGCTGGGGTCTGCCCAGCCCCACTCTAAGTTAAAAGAGCTAAAGCCCAACGTGTCCCAGTTTCTCATTTAACAGCAGTGGAGTTTCTTGTCACTGCAGAGGCTGTTTGTAATTGTAAACAAATAATAGTGAGGGCAGAGGACAGATGTGAGATAACTGAAGCCAGTGGTAGAGCAGTGAGAGAGCCAAGTTGGACTTAGATTTTAACTCAGGTAATTATTGTGTTGTCTGTTTCATGGTGGACATAATATGAGCAGAAAACACAGTAGAATTTTAATTTTTACCCTTCATTCTAGCATTAGCTTTTTATTTTAACTCTTTAGAGTTTGTTGAACATATTTTGGCAGATATGTAACAAGTAGCCATACCTCCTGGATTCGTACGGTTGGTGCCTTGCAGTGTATAAGTGTTCTCAGAATCATTATTCTCTTTAGCACCTGCAGCTGCAGCCACCTTATGTGAGGTATTGCCCTTCCCCTATGTAAAAGAGGAAACAGAATTCTGAGAGTTTATGAGTTATCGAAGGGCACATAGCTAGTAAGCAGTAGAGCCACAACTGGAATCTTTGTCATTTGACTTCTGCTCCACTATTCCTTTCACCAAGCTAGGAACAAGCACATTGTTAACATCCAACTTTATGGTCTTCCATACCTCTCACTCTCCTATCTGCATACAAAACCACGGTCAGCAAATCCGGCTTAGTGACCAATCATGTTGCTCAAAGTAAGAACATATGTATCATCAAAGGGCAACTTCTTGATTGACTTTGACATTAATAATCCAATAAAAAATAGGAGCCTTGTTATTTCTTGCTTAGAATCAGAGCGGCAGCACTGAATGAACCTTAGGAATCATTCAGCTTTGATACACAGTTTTTCAAAAAAAATTAGAGTAAAGCTCTTCATAAGGAAAGTGAAACTGCAGCCAATGCGGAGACGAGGGACCATTTCCCCAGACTTAGACCCAGTGTTCTCTTTCTTCTAAAGAGGACACCTCCTTAGCCCTGGCTGGTGTGACTCATTGGTTGGAGCGTCGTCCTGAACACTGAAGGTTGGTTGCAGGTTCCATTCCCGGTTAGGGCACGTGCCCGGGTTGTAGGTTCCGTCCTTTCCTATCAGAGTTTCTCTCTCTGGAATCAATGGACGTATATCCTTGAGTTAGGATTAAAAAGAAAGAAAGAACACTTCCTTAAACAGAATTTACAGTTCTCATCCCAGGAAACTTTCCTGAGCATCTATGCTGTGCAAAACCCTGTGCTGGAACCAGCCCTGCAGGAGTTTAAGATCTAGTACAGGAGACTTAATCCAGGGTAAAATGTGCCCAGTGCTACGTGTTCAGCCACACAAAAGACTAAGAATGTCACAAATAGAGTCATGGGTAACCCAGAATTGGTCTCAGTCTTCTGGAAACATTTATGATGAAGCTGTTTTTTACATGAGCATGTCTTTGTATGAAAAATGACAACTGTAGCCACTTTGGGACCTTTCAAATAATGCTGCCTGTCCCTGAGAAGCTGAAGTATTAAGATCAAAAGCAAATCAAACTGATTGTTAGCACCAGATTCCTCTTTAGGCATTGTCCCTAGAAGTTTTGAGTGTGAAAATCATATATTGCTTATGCCTTGTTATAAAGTTCTGCTAATAACTTTCAACCCCTTAGTATATATTTTCAGAGAGCTGATATTGAGTAAGTCACATTCTGGCTAGCCTTCTGTAAGAGCTGTTCAGCTGAGAGCCTGGAGAACCTTTTTGAAACTGCTAAGTTGGGCAGTCTCCAAGTCAAGCTGAATTGATAGGGAATGCAGAATTGATCAGAATAATTAAAAGTTTCATTTTGTAAAAGAGATCACTATGCCAGGAAAAAAAAAAACCCTCACAGAATGCCTTTATAGACCTAACTTGCACCAGAATTAAGTGTGTCTTTCTTGGTAGTTACTTCTAAAGCTGAACAAACTATATTGTGTAAATGGGTCAGTTTCTGCAGTGTTCTGCATGAAATATTCAGGTATACACAAAGGCAGCTGGATTATAAATTTCAAGGGCAAACTAACCTCCAGTAAAGCAGATATAGAATGAAGCTGTATTTATATTCTTAGAAGAAAAATTTCTCTTAAACTTAAAAGCTGCATTCAGTTTTGTAGTCTCTTGGATTGGACTGTACTTACCTCTGTCAGCTAGAGGTTTTGCTCTTCAGCCAACCTCTCTTAATTCTCTCATATTTCTGCATTTAAGTCCTTGAATCATACTCAGCATATATTTGGCTATAATCAGGTGACCTTGCCCTCACTGCATTCTCCAGGCCCTAAAACTTGATGAAATGATTTTGGGTTAGCTTTATAAAAACAAACAGATACCCTGTCGACGTAAAACCTGTGCAGTATCTTCTGCCATCATGTGTCTCACTGGTTGCATTTCAGGTCAAAGACAGAGGCAAAATTTTACAAATGGTACATATATGAACTTTGCTGAAGAGGCTTTGAGGGTCCTGCTTCCACTTACTGTGTTTACCCCAAAGTGTCCTTCATTTCATTTCGGTAGTGAAGACCAAAGTTGAATTTCAATAACAATCCTTTTTCTATTTGGAGCTTTTTATGAGTTGTACCAAATTTCCCTCTTAGATGATGAATGGTAGAGGGGGAGTTTAGGGCAAGAACCTAATTCATTATTCATTGGAGTTTGAAATTTCAACGCACCACTACAGCCCCCAAGACTTCAGGAGAAACACAAGCAGTGCATGTATATCTATTTGACTGAAAGTGTCAGAAACCTATGAATCTAAGAAAGGCTTGGGGCACCGATATGTGGGAAGAGCAGTATTGCAGTTGGCCCAGATATGGCCAGAACTCTCTCCACCTTTCACCTCTGCCTCTTTCTGTATGTTCACTTTATTCCTTCTAAGGCAGACCACCTTCCCACGTGGCTGGAAACATGACCACCACCAGTGTATGTTATAATTTCTGTCACTGAAAAGTCCTCTGGATGTTAGATTTTAAGAAGTCATTGGCAGTAAACTCATCAGAACAATATTGGTCATATGTCACTGAGTAGGGGTCTGGGAGGTGGGGGTCATGTAGAAACATGGCAACATGTGCGTTTACCCAGACGACTGGAAGTGGGTAGGTATTTTCCAGGATAAGAGATAGTTTTTGGGAAGGAAATTCCCTAGCATGTATTGCTCACTGCAGCATATCAGACTAGTACCTTGTAAATGTTTTGACAGAAGCCCATAGTAAAAAATACGCTTTACATTAAGACACACATAAACACACACACTTAATTAAAAAAAATCATGAAACAATATCCTCACTATGTAAGGACATTCTGATATTTTCTATTCTATATTATTGTAGTTCATTTAAAAAATACTGATTATTGCCCTGGTGTGACTTAGTGGATTGAGCACCAGCCTGTGGACCAAAAGGTTGCTGGTTCAATTCCTGGTCAGGGCACATGCCTGGATGAGCGAGGCTACTGATAGCTGTGTCTGTCTCACATCATGTTTCTCTTCCTCTTTTTCTCCCTCTGTCTAAAAATAAATATATAAAATCTTTAAAAAATACTGATTATAATTCACCTAATTGATTTTATTCATTCAACTACAGATCATTATGATCAACTATAGATCATAATGATCTATAGTTGGAAAAAATACTATGCTAGACATTAAAAGTAGCAGGTAGGTAAGTTCATGTTTAAACAGATATTTAGGCATGGATATTTATTTATTTAGTCCCGTTGAAGAAATAACTTACATTGCAGAAAGATGCTGGTATCGCAGAGGGTGACAAATATGTGACAGGAATGCCCTTGCCAGTTCCCATAGTGAATGACAGTGCTTTTCCTACTGAGGAATATTCTGGAGCTACTCCCCAGCTCTCTTTAAAGTAAGGAAAACAAATGCATTCAACTGCACTCCACTGTTTTGGACTTACCTTTTGCTGAGAAAAACTGAAATCCTGTAGATCTAGAAAATTTCCCAGAGTGCTTTCAGTTCTGCCTTAAAACAAAACATCAACACAGCCTTCTTGAAAACTTTGTTGTGGCAGCATGAAGGGCAGCTTTCTTGTTCATAGTCACATTATAAAGGGGTGGATGATAGCTTTACTTAATTGTCAGTTGAAAAACTAAGGTCTCTTATTTGTGATCTTCTGTTGAAGCATTTGAATCCCCAGCCTACTATCTCTTAAGCTAAATTGACAGGTAACTGGCAGAAATTTGACAGCAATACTGAATGACTTCTGAATGAGACATGAAGACACAGAGTAGTTGAGTTTCTTACTACAAACAGAAGCCCACAGAGATCCTAAATAACTGATAAGCCTGTAGTGCCATGGATCTCACTGTGAAAAGCAAAACAATAAAATGCTTAGAAGAATTGGAGAATATAGAGTTAGGAGAGATTTCTTAAACAAGACATGAAGTATTGACTATAAAGGAAATGACTGATAAATTTGATTACTCTTGATGAATTTCTATTCACTAAAAATATTGGAGAAATAGATTGGGGAAAGTATTTAGAACACATATAACAGACAAAGGACTTATATTCAGAATACATAAAGAACTATTGGTAGGAGTATACATCAGTACAACCACGGTAGGAAAAAGTGTGGCAGTATCTAGTGAAGCTGAAGACCAGATACTCTGCGATCCAGCAGTTTCAGTCCTAGATTTATACCGTAGAGTAGCAGTTCCTCAAACTTTTTGATCTCACTGTACCCTTTTAGAAATTGTTGAGAAACTCAAAGACCTTTTGTTTATGTGGATCATATCTATTGATATTTACCATATTAAAAATAGAGAAATTTAAAACTATTTATTTATTAAAAACCCATGTTAATGGGTTGCATGTTAATGTAACTTAGCTTTTATGAAAAATTACTTAAAAATTAGTGGGAAGAGTGACATTGTTTTACAGTTCTGCAAGCCTGTCTAAGGTCCATCTTTACAGAAGACAGCGGAGTCTCCTATCTATTTTGGCATTCCTCTGTTGCGGTATGTTGTTTTGGTTAAAGTATACAAAGAAAAGGTGACCTCACACAGATATATAGTTGGAAAAAGGAGGAGTATTTTAATAACCTTTTCAAACAATTGTAAATATTCTTCTTTGATACTCCACTAAAGCTACAAAAGGTAGGTTCTTAGAGGTTGGTGACAATGTGAAATCTGAAACCATACCAATAAACTTTTAATTATTTTGCAACATTAAAATCTTTTAGTTTACCTTGCGTGTTTAATAGATTTTTACTCATGCAGGATTTTGTAACATCATGCAGTGATGATTTGGAAAATACTGGTTTACTTGGTTATGCAGATCTTTTCATTGTTGACACATTTCATTATATAATATTAAAATGTCACATTCTTTAAGTTCATTACCGATCCCATCAGAAAAGCGTTTCAAGCACGTAGTGGCAGATACAAGTTTTCCGAAATTGTAATTTTCACTGGAAAGTCCAGATTTTATCAAACTGTCAGTTATTTTCTCAAAGAGGCTGACTTGTCTGCCAGATACTCAAGTCTGAATAACCATAGTTTGTCCGACTGTCACTCCTTCAGTAAAAATGATGTCCCATGAAAAAAGCAGCTGTGCTCACCCAGCTCCAAGGCAAACAATTGCCCAAGTGCCTTTCTCCAGGCAACCTTTGTACCTTGGTATGTCGCAGAAGTGCTTTATGTGTACTCTCCACTTCGTCACACAGAATATTAAAAAGACATATGCTGAAGGGTAGAGATTTAAAAATTTTTAACTTTTCTATTACAGTTAACATACCATATTATGTTTATCTTAGGTGTACAACATAGTGATTAGACATATATGTAACTTACAAAGTGATCACCGCAGTAAGTCTAGTACCCATCTGACACCATATATAGTTATTGCAATAGTATTGACTATGTCCCCTATGCTGTATTTTACATCCCCATGACTGTTTTTTTTTTAAGATTTTATTTATTTTTATACAGAGGGGAAGGGAAGGAGAAAGAGAGGGAAAGAAACATCAATGTGTGGTTGCCTCTCACATGGCCCCCACTGGGGACCTGGCCCGCAACCCAGGCATGTGCCCTGACTGGGAGTCAAACCACGACCCTTTGGTTCACAGCCTGTGCTCAATCCACTGAGCTATACCAGCCAGGGCTCTGTGACTGTTTTTGTAACTGGCAGTATGCACATCCTAAAGAACAAATTTAATAAAATTTATTTTTACTGTTTACAAAGAACATTTTAATGTGAACCTGGCACATTTAGAGTGTGGAGGTGAGGAATACAACTGCTGGTTCAATTTGATGCCACTGCCTTCATCATGTCATCTTGAACTCACCCACATTTTTCACTTTTTTCCAAAAGTGTAAAAAAGGCAAATAACATCTTAGAACTATTATGAAAATGGTTTTAACTTTGTGGACTCTCTGAAGGGATATAGAGATCCCCAGGGGTCCTAGAGTCCTTTCCTCCTCCAAGAGGTGGACCACACTCGAGAACTGCTGTCCTAGAGAACGCACAGCTCTTGTGCACCAGGACACATCAAGGACACATGTATGTGAGTGGGGGTGGGAAGAGGGCATGTGATCAAGGAGGAGAACATGGTGGAGAGGGTGCTTCTGGGATGCTGACAGTGTTTAGTTTCTTAATCTGGGTGGGGATGTTTGTTCTTTAATATGTGAATCTGTTCATTTATATTTATGCCCTTTTCTATACCTCTCATTTGAAAGCACAATTTTCTTCTATTAGCATTTTTAGTGTCTGGTTTAGAGATATAAAGGGTGTTCAGAAGTGAGGAACTCCCCCTCCAGTGTATCCCTCTTTATATTTTCTGCGGGATATAATTTGTCCAATCTTTTCTTCTTTTTGCTCCATTGGTTATGTTATAGTGGAGGTGGGAATTCAAGTGACTCTAGTGCGTTCTCCCCTCATGGTTAGTGACATGGCTAAGGCAGTGAAAATTATGAAAAGGAATTTTTTTTTAAATTTAAAACCTTATGTAGTACTTAATTATTTGAGACTTAGGAACCTTACCATGGAAACTTTTTATGTTCTGGAAGGAGAACAAAATGAGAAGTGACTTAAGAACATAAGTGAAAAATAAAACTGTTTGTAACTTCTTTTGCTGTTATTAAATCATAAGAGTATGGTGACTGCAAATGAAATAAGTAGTAGTAAGATTTTAGCATTGCTGGGTTATCTTCTGCTCATGTTCTTAGAACACTTTTCACTTTAGTTGTCTAATTTTATCTCCATAACACTGAATTAGGCACAACAGGTACTAATAACTTCCATTTCATAGATTTAAAAAAACCCCGAGGCACAGAAAAGATCAGTAATTAATTCAGCAGCAACGCCAGGACTCCTAGAATTTCCTTTTCCTACCAAACTAGTTTAATTGTAAGGTATTCAAGATAGTCATCACAACCCGGACCTTTTTGCCTTTGCTTCACGGGTCCTCTTGCTGTAAGCTGAGCTCTTCCAGTTTGGGTCAGGAACCCCTGTCACTGTTCTGTATGAACATCAGCACCATCTACTGTGCTTCCTGATGTTCTGAGACTTGGAATGAGAACATTTAGAAAACCACAAAGACTCAGTCCCATTTCAATTTTGTCTGTTAGAGACTGAATACATTGAGGTATACATCTGATGCTGTTAATCATAGCCTTCAGGTTGAACTCAGATGTCATAAGCTAGAGGAATGTTTATTCTTTACATATTAGCTGTTAGGATGACTGGAAGGTGGTGGAGATGGACTGCAGGTAAAGCTGATTAACTTTCAGATGTACCTGATCTCCCATCAGGACTATCTTGTTCCTTGGCAGAGGTTCAGACACTTGGAATTTGTGTGTGCGTAAGAGTGTACGCACTAAGAGAAAAGAATTATTCCAGCTTGGTTGCAACAGATCAGGGAAAGATCGCGTGGAGTCTGGAGGATGTGTGGAATGGCATGCCCATAGAATGAGCTCTGATTTAAATGGGCATGTGAAGGGTTTACGAAAGTAGTTAATCTCTGGCAACGGAGTGACATATTTAGCATAGGTAATTTTTTTTAAAGCCTCTCCCAAGGATATGTTTGTTGACTTTAGACAGAGAGGAAGAGGGAGAGAGAGATTGAGAGAGAGAAGAAACATCAATCTGTTGCCTCCTATATGTGCCCTGACTGAGAATTGAACCCACAACCCAGATATGTGTCCTGACTAGGGATTGAACCTGCACCTTTTGGTGTATGGGACAATGTTCTAACCAACTAAGCCACCTAGCTGGGGCCTTTTTTCTTTCTTTTTTTTAATGTAATGTTACCTTTGTTAAATGTTAGTGTTCCTGAATAAATACAATTTTTTTGATATTATAATCCCTGTATTTCACAACCAGGGTCCAATTCAGTAAATATTTTTCTCATTAGTTCCTACCAGGACATTATTTCTAAGATTTATGTCCTAATCTAAGTCTTTTCACAAGTGAAATATCACAGAAATCTAAGAAATGAGTCTACTAATTATACTTTTCTTGATGCATTTCAAATAGGGCAGTCTAATTATAAGCACCTCCTAAAAACAAATGGCTGCTACTCTTGCCCCAGTTTTCCCCTTTAACCAGGCCCAGACGCTGCTGCCAGGGAAGGCATTGTCAGTGCTCACAGAGACTCTGAGGGTCGGAGTCAAGGAAGGACTGGGCAAGTGGACCCCAGGAATAGAGCCCATCTGGTCACACCAGCAGTGTCCTGTCCTCTTGCCCACTACCAGAGTTATTTGTCCTTGTCAGGTGCCGTTGGACAGATTGACACATGTGGTATAGCAAGGAGTCTTCTTTAACATGCAGCAAGGAGAATAAGAGCACGAGCTTGGAGTCAGACACTTCAGTCTTGGTATTGGGTGTTTCTACTTCCTAGCCGTGTGACCTTTGGGCAGGTTGCTTTACCTCACCTGTCAAATCTATTTCATCTTCTGTGAATGAAGATAGTTGTATCTGTCTCCCAGGGTTACTCTAGGATTAAATTAAGACCTGTATACATACAGTGTACATGACCCCATGCCTGGGATGGAGTAAGTTCTCAGTAGACAGTAGTTCTTACTGCATATGCAGACACCTAAAAGGTTCATTCATGATTCCTACAACATAAATTATTTTTTATGGCAGTGCTTGGTATCCCAAATATCTATAGTAACTATAAAACTTGAGAGGGTTAGGACTGTAGGGAACTTTTATCAAGGAGATACTAGGGAAAAGGGCAGGTCAAGGTGAGAAACTCAGGAGATTTAGAGCATCATAAGATCCTGAGGAAATGAGAAGAAAAAGACTAAAAAGTAGGATGGGCATATTTTTTCCCCAGAAAAGGGGGAGAATTCTTCTTCCTCTTCCTTTTCCCTGTTGAACTTTATACATGTTGTTGCTAGGACCCCAAACTCAGGCCAGCATTGTTAATACTATATCTGCACATTCAGTCACCTGCAGAACTTAAAAAAAAGTACCCATGCCTTGGCTGGGAGGCCCAGTTATTTTGGGTGTCATCCTATACTCCTAAAGGTTGTAAGTTCGATTCCTGCTTGGGGTACCAGCCTACGTTGGAGGTTTGATCCCGGCTGGGGTGTGTGCGGGAGGCAATCTATGTTTTTCTCTCACATCAGTGTTTCTCTCTTTTACTTCCCCTCTCTCTTTAAATCAATAATAAAAACTATCCTTGGATGAAGATTAAAAAAAAAAGTACCCACGCTTGGGCTCTGCCCCAGCCTCTCAAATGTGAATTTCTTAGGGGATGAGTCCCAACTACATGCAGGTTAAGTATACTTGGGAAGGCTAGCCTGGAAATCTGCCCATTCTGAGTTCTAAACAAGTGGGGACTTTTTACAGGCACGTACCCACATATAGACATGTGCATATGCAGTCTTAAGTCCACCAGAACTTGATCCTTCATTGATTCAGTAGTCATGGAGGGTATAGAAGAGATGTTATTGTTAATTCTTTTAAGGTGGAGAAATCAACTTACTCACAAATAACTACAAAATTTCCAAGACATCAGGAATGCCATCACAGAGGCATAAATTAGGATGACAGTTCAGAGGAGGGACAAAGTACCTCATTAGTGCTGCCAGCAGGGAAGGCTTTTGTGGGGGGAGTGCAATTTGGAATGAATCGTAAAGGACAGGTAGGGCTTCAGACAATGAGGATGAAAGACATTTCAGAAAGACAATGTTGTGAGCAAAGACCTGGAGATGGAAAGCCCAAGGAGTGGAACAATAGGTCAACCAGCTGGAGAGAGAGCTGGAGTCTATCCTAGGGACTTTGGCAAGTCAATACAGGTTTTGAAGAGGAGGATGACGTGGATAGAGATGTCTGTTAGGAAACTGAATCTGATAGTACACTGACGAGAGAGGACTAGAAGTGGATGCGTTTTTATAGACATATGTCATCTGAAGAAAAGAGGCCATGTGAAGGAATGAGGGAATAGTACATATTGAACAGTGAACAGTGGTGGTGGGGCAGCTTGGAGAAAATGGGAAATGGGAGGGGAAGCAGCTCAGGGGAGAGGAAACTCGTTCTTTCACTTGACCCCTGACTACATGTTATTTCCCAGTGTCTACATATTATTCTACAAGATCTGTGTTGGCCCATTTCAACACTGTTTGGGTTATTCCTAGAGAAAAAAAGCTGAACAATTTTTTTTGAAAATGACCTTTCTTCCCTGGATTTTTTTTCAGAAATTAAGTATAGAATACTGGAAAAATTAAGATAAGGTATTTGTGTTACAACCTATTCATAACTACTGAATCTTCCCAAATTATTTCTAAAAACCTGGCAGTAGAAAGACTTCTCTGAAAAATCATCTGCAGCTCTCACTTCCATGAATCTTTGTCTTCCCGTGTCAGGCATTCTTTATCTATACTCCCAGATAAAATGAACTCTTTGGGAGAATCTGAGAGTGTTTTCACATATGAGCACAGAGAAATATTTCTTTAGAAATAAGAAGGGTTTTATCATAAGTCAATCCATGTGGCTACAGAACCCTCCTATCCAAAAATTGAGAAAGGTGTGTGAGTGTGAGAACACTTCTCTTGGATTTGCCTGAGTTAGCCCTGGACTCAAAATGTTTTTAGAAGGGATAGTGATTTATGTTATTTTTAGTGAATGTGAGTATTATGAATGAAAAGAAATATTATGAATTATGCATAGAAATGAGACTAATCGGGCAAAATCATATATGGGAGAAGTTATATGTAATCTGTGGAATTAGAGATGAAAGGTGGTTTTCCCTTAGGAAGTTTCCTTTACTTTAAAGACATTAAAAAATCAGTATGGATAGGAAAATGACAAAAAGACAGTAGAACAATATTTACAGTTTTTATTTTAACTACAACCCTCAAACTACTGTTTTTACTTTTGATATTTACTTAATCAATTTATGTTTTAATAGCCATACAATAATGTATTCTGGAATATGAACTTAAAATATAACAATCATCTTTTTGTATTTCTATATAATTTTTATAATTGAAATTTATTTAGTAGTATAAATATTCTATTATATTTACAAATCATAATTATCAAGCAATTCTGTAATTCTCAGGTACTAGAGAAACTATATTGTATATCTTCTACAGATGCCTTTTTGCTTTCATTCACTTCTTTCCCTAGAATAGATTCCTAGGAGTAGGGCTATTTAGTCAAAGGGTATAATATCTTATGGTTCTTATCTCAGTTCCTTTCAGGAAATGGCTACTTTCTGTATCTGCTCAACACTCTAATGATAAAAAACCTGGAAACTATAAAATGTCCTTATTTTACCACAATTTTTATTTTAGTTCTTAAATCTCAAGTTGACAAAAACTATTATATATTTAAGTTCAGCATGTCAGAAGTACATTTACATCTGTCATAAATTAAAAATAAATTTGGTTTCTGAATTTATAATGATTTTAAATAAGGTATATCCTTTATTGTATAAAATAAAACCCACACATTATTTTTTCTTTACTATTTCTAGAAAGTTTATATCACTAGTTTTTAAATTCCTATAAAAATCCTAATATTTTTCTTCATATATGCTAGGTTAATTTAATCGTATTTATATATCTCATATGTTTCATAGTTTACTTTAAAAATTGATGTTTGTGCATAATATGTATATCTTTTGTTAATTTTAGAAAGGAAAAACCCAACTTTCTGAGCTATTATAGTATATAGATCTGGAATATTAAAATGAAATTTTCTGCAAGCTACATTTTGTGTTCAGGTGGGTGTTTTTCCAAGCAACTTATTTTCTGTGTCTGACATATAGCTGTGTTAAGACTAAAATAAACTTTGTGGCTTAGAACGGTCTCCTTGCCAGTCAGCCTCTGCCACACTTTCCTTTCCCCTCCAGCCCATCCTATTCATTACTCCCAGATTAATTCTCCTAAAATACTGCTTAGTGAAAAACCTCACTAAGCTGACTGAAAAACCTTAGCTGACTCCCCATTTCTAGATGAACTGAATGTAAACTTTTCACCTTAGCATTAAAGATCTACAACAAAACCTCTTTGCAGGCTCATGAGAACCACTGGTGGTGAGGAGGTTAGCATGACGCCATGGTTCCCTGCTCATGAGAACCACTGGTGGTGAGGAGGTTAGCATGACACCATGGTTCCCTACCTCAGATTTAGTCGGAAACCTCTGGGGGTAGGACCCTGTGAAATCTCTCACTCTTTTTAAAGCTCCCCAGTTGAAGCACCATTAGGCAGGGGTATGAATTCTGGTCCTGGAAAAGGGCAGACACAGGTTGACATCCTGGTGTTGCCACTTACCAGGTCAGTAATTTCCAGCATTGATGCAGGCCTCTCTACACTTAGGTGTTCTTTTTCTTTCTGAAAATGGGATCAAATAGTATCTTGTGAGAATAATTGCAACTATGCATACAATAATTGGTACAGGCTAAGTACTAAACAAGTATTGGCTGCTGCTATTAGTAGCCATAAATGTCACAAGCTTTGCATTCAGGCAGATGTGGGCTCAAATCACAACTGTGTTTCTCCTCTGCCTAGATGTTATCCAGATTACCTAATTCTCTGACCCTCAGTTTCCTCATCTACAAGCAGGGCTAATAATACCTCCCTTATTTAATATAAGATATAAGATATTAGCATATTTCTACATAGTAGGCATGAAATTATGGCAAGTGTTCTGTTATGTGCCAGGTATTGTTCTAAACTCTTCGTGTTATAACGACTCTTCCCATGAACTCTATGAGATGATACCACTATTATCATTATTTTACAGGTAAAGAAACTAAGACATAAAGAAGTTAAGTGACTTACTTGTTCAAGGTCACACAGCTAGGAAGCCAGAAATTTGGACGCAGTCCTCTGACTTCAGAACCCACCCTCACACACCATGCAGTTTTCATTCTCATTATTGTATTGCATTGATCTTCACTTACTTTATTTGCCTATAACCACCTCTATCAACATTAGCTCCCTTTGAAGAGTAATTTTTCTTTATATCCCCTACAACACCTAGCAGGTACCTCATCTGTAGCAGATACTTAACAAATGTGTGTTCAATTGAGCATAATAAACATACCTGTTTCTCACATCTGATCACAAGGAAGCTACTCTTGGCTGTAGGCAGCTATCTTCTGGCATCTAGACCCTCAAATTGGAGGACTTTAAATTGTTCATTTAGCTGCTTTCCCAGCTTCTTCTCTCTGAGGTTTAAAAGCCTGTGTACTGAGTATGGAAGCATAGGTCATAAGACTTGGTAGTGGCTCTCCGGAAGGATCAGGCACCTGGAAGGCAGCCTGGTCAGGGGTGCTGAAAGGTAAGAGGCCAGATCAGGAAACAGCTGTCTCAGGGAAGGCAGATTTAGCTGCCACCATGTTGCCCTTCCCCCATGACTGCACTGGTAAGACGCTTCCTTCCGCCTATAGTTAACCCTGTACACCCCATGGCTTTCAGAGATGTTGAATTCATTTCCCAAATGAATTCCCAAAGTATGATTCTGTTTGACTCACTGTTTTAAAGGGATCATTTCTGAGGTGATTGCCTTGTCTTCTCTAACGTTTTTCTTATGCTACCAGCACATTGTGAAAATCATTCCCTTTCATGCTGCCACATTTTCCTGGATTTCACACTTATTCCTTAAAAGATCCCTTTTTCTTAACTTTCTCCAAAGGAGAAATTTAGGTGTATATCTTCCTTTTTTTTGGTCACTTAATATTCTAAAATTTGGAGATATAGTCAAAATTACTATTTTCCTGAGTGATCTGAAATTCTGTATTACAGTTGTGATGATTTTTCTTTGATATTAAAAGTTTATTAGTATTTTTTATTTATTCTTTTATAACACCTGTTGTATTTCTTCTTATTATAAAATCAGTTCATCATAGCCCTGGGTGGTGTGGCTCAGTGGTTTGAGCACCAGCCTGTGAACCAAAAGGTCACCGGTTCGATTTCCAGTCAGGCCACATGCCTGGGTTGTGGGCCAGGTCCCTAGTTGGGGACATGCAAGAGGCAACAGATTGATGTATCTCTTACATACATCGACACATCAGTGTTTCTCTCCCTCTGTTTCTCCCTACCTTCTCTACTTTCTAAAAATAAATAAGTAAAGTCTTTAAGAAAAATCAGTTCATTGTAGAAAACTGTAAAAATGCAGAAAAGAATAAGTGAAATAAAGACTAATTTTTTTTTGCTAAGCTACATTTTTATATTTAGTGATAGTTGTTTAACAATTTGACAATAATAGACATATATAATATAAACATACTTATATAATGTATACACACTAATACCTTTCCTTTATAAAATTAGGATTTGAATGTATGCCCTGTATCTTGATTTTCTTTTATTGTATGATTTACAAGTATCATTCTTTGTCTTGTTTAAAAAATAATGGAAATGAATGAAAAGGGGACTTTGTGTACATTCCTGATAATCAGCATTAAGCATTAATTACTGACACATTTCTTAGGACCTAGGCAGCCTTTTGCCTGAGCTCCATTTACAAGTCTGTCTCAGTAGTAAAAGTTGCTAAAAGAAAATGATCTTGACAGGGACTTCTGAGGTGGTTCCCTCTGTGGATCACAGACACTGGCTTTCACCCTGCCATTTGAGTCCCATTACTGAAAACAAAGCTGGCTTTGGACTGCACACTAGTGTATGTGGTACTTGATTCTATATACCTTGGTTTTCCACAGGCCTTGCCAAATTGGTTTCCTGGCCGTGACCTTGTAGTTCAGCATTTCCCCTCCCCTCCACCCGTTTCCTGCCTTTACTTTTGATCATCAGGATTTCTTTTCACATGAATCCCACAGTAGTGATGTAGTAGTCAGACCTAAAGTCAGGAAACCCACCCTTGCTTGGTCTCCTAAAATTCTTTTGGAAAAGTACATTGTACAGGTCTATACTCAATAATTGTAATATGAAACCACAATACAATTTTTAAAATGTATTTTAATAACAAATTTTGGAATAAGCAAACATTTTTTCATTATTGCTGACATTGACATTACCATTAAGGAGTGTTTTTGAGCCTGACCTGTATGTATCTAACTCCTACATTTTGTTCAGCCCTCACCTCTCCCCTCTGCTCCAGTTCTGTGTTTCTGTATACTTTCAGGACATCTCCAGCTCAGTATAACATTGTCACTGTCAACCTGTCTTATTCGGACCTCATTATGTTGCATACAGCCTGCTTCAACTACCTGTCTTTTTTCCTTCCTGTGGAACCTAATACTCTCACTTTTCCACAGAACTATTAAAACTAGTAAGAGAAAACAGTGAGGTGGCTGTATGCAAAGTAATTGTGCAGAATTTAGTAGCTTTCCTACACATCTTCAGTGATCACTTTGAAAATACAATGAAATAAAGGTCCAATCACCATAGTGATTAAAACTATAAGGTAAGTAGGAAAAATTTAATAATAATTCTATAAGATATATATTATATATATGTATATATTTTTTTTGCTGAAGGGCTAAAGACGTAGAGAAACATATTCCTAGATGAAAAAATGCCACTTCTTTCCAAAGTGATCTATAGATTCAATGCAATTACAACCAAAAGTCCTAATGGAGATTTTAATAGAATTTGATAAGCTGATTCCAGTGTTTCTTAACATTTGAATAAAGAAAAATGAAGAGTCATCCTGGCAGGTATAAACAGCTACCTAAAATCTAAGATAATTAAAACATGTCATTGGCACAGGGGAAGACTAACAAATCAATGGAACCGAATAGAATCCAGAAAAAAAGACATAGAGTCAAATTTAATATATAATAAATACAGCATTTACAGTCAGAGGGAAGAGGGTGAATTGTTCAGTAAATTAGAGAAAGAAGACAAAAAGAACATTGCAAAGGCCCTCAAGTGAGAGAGCGTGCATAGAGCATGTCTTGGAGTAAGAACTTCCCATGACTGGAGTGGCGGCGATAGAGAGGGATGATGTTAAGGAGGTAAGCAGGGGTCTTTCTTTTTATGTCCTTCTGAGGAGTTGGGACCTTTTATTCAAGTGCCTTATTCATCCCCAGATTAGTAACAACATTATCATATATTTTCCTCTGTATTCTTTTATGGCTTTTATTACATTTAGATCTTTAATTTATCTGGAATTTATGCCCATTCATTATATGTAGTAAGGATATATCTTTCCTAACTAAATAGCCAATTATCCCAACTTTATTAGTTGAATCGTCTTCCACTGATTTTAAATGTTGCTTTAAATGTTCACATATAAAATTAGTTTTCTGGGTTTGTTTCTGAACTCTATTCCATCCCGTAAATCTGTCAGACTATTCCTGTGTCTATGTAAAATACACCACCTTGAATAATCTTAAGCAGCAGAGTGACATGATCATATTTTCAATTATAGAAAGATCACACTGACCAGCTAGGATTCTGCTGCAGTAAAATTCAAGCAAGAGATAGACTCAGCCTCAGCCTGAATTGAAATGAAGCAGTTGGGACAGAATGGGCAGAACTTGGTGCTTGCTTAAGTGTGGTGGGCTTAGAAAGAAGAGATGAAGATAATGCCCAGGTTTCTGGCTTGAGAAACTGGGTGGATGATGGTGATGCCTTCAGCTGAGAAAGAGGAAGAGCAGGAGGTTTGAAGAGAGGCATGAAAAGAGGATGCATTCAGTTTTGGACGTGTTGAATTTAAAACACCTATAGATGAGAGTTTGCAGGGGAAGATATAAGGGAGCAGATCCTCCAAAAGAGACTGAGGCTGAGTGGCCAGAGAAGTAGGGGGAACTTGATTGTAAAGTATTTTGAAAGCCAGGGGGAAAAGAGAGCATTTTAAATAGATAGAATGATTAGTGGTGTACAGTACTGCAAAGAATTTAGGAAGGCTAAGTTCTGAAAGGTTTCCATGGACTTAGTAATAGGTAGGCCCTTGCTAACTATGACAAGAACCATCTGGATGGAGTGGTGGCATAGAAACTTGTTGTAGTGAGTTAAGCAGTGAATGGGAAGGAGAAAAAGTAAATGTGGACAATTTGTTAAGAACTTTGACTGCAAAGGAAGAGAGATGGTGGTACCCAAGAAACTAGAGTTGAACAATTCTCTGAGTTTCTTTATTGAAAATGGGAAAGGCCTCAATGTACTGAGATGCTGATGGGAAGGATCCAGAAGAGGAAAAGGAGATAATGAACAGGTCTTAGTTTCCAGGGTGGCTGAAAACAAGAGCCTCAACAGGGTTGGGGTACACAGAAAGAGTGCATGTGTAGGTGATTTTGTCAAGTTGGGGTCAAGTGAAGGTTGAGTGTAAAGGCTTGTATTTTCTCTGTAAAGTAAGAGCAAGATTTTCTGCTATGAACATGAAGAGATGTGGTAGAACAAAGAGTTTGAGAAAAATGCAGAAACTTTGAAATAGCTACTACATAGAAAGGATTGAGAGGCAGCTAGCACAGTATGATGATTTGGGGCATGTGGAGTTTGAATTCAGAGGGACATCATCTCTGTGAGGTGAGTCTAGAGCTGAGGCTTGAGTTCAAGATTAGATACAGAGATTTGGGATTGTTAGAAACCTTAAATTAAAGGTTGAGAGGAAAATGAGCAATTGGCAGAGCAAATAGAATCAGAAGGATATGCCAGACAAGGATATCGAAGAGGAACAGTAGGAGAAACAGAAATAGTAAGTATGACATCATGGTGACTAAGAATTTCAAGTAGAAAAGTTGAGCTAGGGAGTGAAGTCCTTGTTGTAGAGCTGTGGTTCTTGACCCTGGCTACATGTTCAGGAGCACCTGGGGAGCTTTAAGCAAGAATCCAGCCCCCTGCCAACTCAAGACAAATTAAAGTGGCCCCAGGGTGGGGCCCTGGCATCAGTGTTTTCCTTGTACTTGTAATTTGTAGCCAGGGTTGAGAATCACTGCTAGAGAGAAGGTGATGAAGACTGAGACATGATTGGACTTGGCAACCCAAGTCATCAGTGGCTTTTGAGAGAGCAATTTCAGTAAAGTGGTGAGACTAGATTTCAGTTTGTATCAGGAGTGGCTGGATGAGGATTTAGTTTTGTGGTGAAAGTAGGATAAGGGGAGAAAATTGATATGGTGTGGTCCCCATCTTCTTATAAAGTTAGTGTTGATAGCTACTAACTAAATGGGTGTGGATTTCTCTGAGACTTTGTGGAGAGTGGGGAAAAAAAAAAACTGAGCAAACGCCATGAGGAATGTAGGAGACTGCAGAGCCATGGTAATGGCCTAGATGAGCATGCGTTGCATTCTGTAATTATCTAGCCTCCTTACTGTTGTGAAGTAATGCATACAGCTGTGATATGTGTAGTGGAGCTGCATCTAAGGCAGGAGATAAATTTTGAAGTTGCAGAGATTGCATTTGGTCAGAATTGCTCTTGTTAATCCCTTAGGAAGGTGCACAGTGGAG